AAATAAAGGCAGTTATGTACAAACTAAAGTATACTCCTTGCTGAATTTGAACATAAAACATTTCTGAAGGCAGAAGAATATATAACATTTACTGTGATGGCAGAAGACTTCCGTTATATAAATATGAACGATGCTAACAGACATTTCCAGACTTACAGATATGCTAATCTATGACTCTGGGACTAAAGAAAATGTATTACAAATTTTTAATGTGTAGCTTTACAGTCATGTTTCTAGTCCAGTGCTAGTATAATGCTTTCATTCACACCAATTTCATGCTCATCGTTTAACGCTCACTTCAGTTGGAATAATAAATGTATATTTTGACTTCTGAATATTAGGGGGTCTCTTAAATTTGAAACAGGTAAGAGTCTCAGATAGTCAAACTCCAGTTCTGCCAACATAACAATAATAATGACTGTTTATATCACTAAAATTAGTTTCATGTAAGTTTCCATTACAGTACTGGTGTTATTTCACTGTTTTGAGTTTTGTTTGTCAAGGGCATAACAGACACTTTGTCATCAACATGGATACCAGCATCAAAAAATTAATTTTGTTTTTTGAACAGCAGATTCAAAATACGTTGGACTGTACGTTCATCTGAATAGAAACGCATGGAGAATGTCTTAAAAACACAATTAATTTAGCCACACTCCTGAAATCATTATATCAGCAAACAGCCTTAAGTAAAATGTGAAAGCAATATCTAATCAGGTACAAAGTCAAGAGATGAAACAAGAAACTCACTTATAACAAAGTTATAAGTAAATACGGTACTGTCCATTTTTATGACTTATTAGTCAAAAGAATGTCTGCCAATCTGTAAACGCTATAAATTATACCACACAGGTTAAAGAAATATTCCTGAGTGTTATGAATCTACAATACTACTGAAACAGATATATATCTTATCGCTAAGAAATAAACTAAACTCTGTGCACACACACAAACATGTCTACAACTAGAACAGTGAATTCCAACAGTAAACCAGTCTTTGCCTGTACACTGTGTATGCTAAAATGTCAAATCAGATGTTTTAACTTCTGTCAATGCTGTTACTGGGGTTGGGTTGATTCGGTAAAGTACAGTGGCAACCAGAGTGTTTTAAACTAGTAAGAAATGCAATCAAAACTCTACTACTGAACCAGAAAACATTTAAGAAACTCTTATAGAATATTTTAAAGTGAAAAAAATTATACCTGATTTTACACTAGAGCATCTGCGATGTTAAACAAAAGCAAATGCAACGTTGAACATTAAAATCAAAATCCACCTCGCAAACAAATAACACCAAGATGACAAGAAAATGGTACACTATAATACAAACTGTAGGCTCTTCATTTTGTGGTTTGTTGCTGGCAATTGCTGTGTCTTGGGAGGTTTCGGCAGTGGTGTTTTTATGTTGATGAGGCACTTATTTTAATTTTAAAAACTATTCATGCCTTATAGATAGTTAATTTTCATTTAAAATGATTCCCCTTTAAACATCTCCCTTAATGTTAATAATTATCACAGAAATAGTAGTATATTTCCCCCTTATAAACCACTTATTTTTCTTTGCCAGACACGTAAACAAAGTTCCAATACCTACACACTAAAATTTTATGCTAGAAAACTTATAATAATCTATTAAACATATTTATGTGGCAGTTAAATACATTCAAGTTCCTCTTCCACCTTTCAAAATTTATTAAACACACGTCAAAATTAAAATAAACAAATTATGGTATAGTTTTAATGGTGATGACTGTAACTTGCACTGCATAGCATACAAATGATTTATGGGCATTACAGATGTTGATAAGCAAATAAGTGATAAGAAAGAAAAATAGTTAACCAAACATAATGGCAGAATATAAAGCAGCATTTTAAAAGGGGGCCGAGATCCCTTCTAACACAACATACATTCTATTCTTTTGATGAATGCATCTCTCATTAATTAGAACGTGGCGATCAACTGTGTTTCTATGAAAAGATACCGTGTTGTATTTTGCTGTGTTTGAATGAAATTCTGAAATTAAGCAAATTCAGGGACTTGTACTTAACTGACGTGTCCTTTTACAGCAGTGTGAACAAGATGTATAAACTATTTTGACATTTTTCACAATATTTTAAATTATACTGAAATAACATCTTCTGTTGAAAATGGTTTTCCTTGGAGTATTTTGCAAAACAGAATATAGTAAACTGATACGTCTTCTGGGTGATAACACTGAAGATGGAGGTAGTATGTTCCTCCAAAATACTGTCTATCTTCAAGCCCACACAACAGTATTACCCAGTAACATAATAATAATGTCTTTGTGCTGTATGTATCTGTAATTGTACATTTTAAATTTGACCTAATTTTTAGCAATGATACCAGATATTCTTCAAAAAGAAATGGTAAATAAATATAATGAAGACCACGATGGTTAACACATTCCTACATCACAACATTCTTTGTTAACATGGCCTTCAGGCACAGATGTGAGCATAAACTATGAACTATCCTACCTCACAGAGTAATGACACAATTTGAAACCTGTTTAATATCATATGCATAACAATTATATAACATAAATCGATATGTTGAAGGGTAGCACTAGGCACACATCTACACAAACACATCCAAAAAGGATTAAAAATTTTAGATATTGAAATACACGGGAAGCATGAATATAACATCAAGGATAAGGAAACTGAGAACTGATATGATGTACTTTGTTAATCCTTTAAAATCCATTTTGCATTTGTGTGTTCTGTACGATTCTCACTCTAAGGGATAATTAAACAGCATTAACCACTTGGTCTTTGTAATGGTGACATCTTTGTTTCCAGTACAAACTGAATTCTATTATTTATATTATTAGGCTTGAAAGGGTTAATATTTCTTTTTATGTAAGGGATGTATAGAAATCACTTGTACTGGTACTTCATGTTATTACAAGTATCTATCATGCAATATGACATAGCAGACTGGAATTTTGTCAACTTTCAGTAAATCCTCGTCTTCAGCTATAAAACAGCTCATATATGGACTAGTTCTAAAACATATTAAAATGTCATTTAAACTTGTTTGTACAAGTTTATTTTTATTAGAAGTGAATTTTATTATCCTGCACAAAGGGGTGATGTCAATAATAAAATATTTATTACAAAAAAATGCCCAATTTTTTTTTGCTGATTATTAATTTGTTAGGTTAGAATATAAGTACCATAAAGAATAACGCAGAAATTCATTTACAGGCTAGAAAATAAATTAATCTACAAGTCATTATGTAATGTTTAAATACCTGACGACAACAACAAACAGAAGTTATGCTCATATGACTATAGAAACATAAATTAAAGTACTCCGTTATTATTCGATTCAAAAACTCGCTGTGATGATGGGGAGTGGATAGAAATGGCAGAGGATCATGTTCAAAGAGAGCTTACTATTAGCAGCTGAACCTTCAGTTCTGTTATCAAAGAGTGGGTAGTGGTCAAAATGTGAATGTGATAATGAATCATACTCTTGATGACTGGAAACCCATGTTAATTTTTACAAACTCCATTCAAAAACATACTTACGAAATTAAAAATTTGTTGTAACTGTAAGCAGGATACATATTACATTATCTGTACACACTACTGCTAAGTGATAAGCAATTAAATTGTGGATATATCTTGGAAAGTAAAAAACACTGCTTTTGAAGCATTTTCTATTTTCTGATTTTAATTAAGTTACAGACTTGATTAAAGTTTCCCCTGTTGAAGAAGTACACCTGACAGCACGCAATCAAGTAATTACTACAGTAAAGTTGCTGGAAGTTCTATTTTGGTCCGTACAGAATGATAATTCTAGAAATTGATTCTCTAAAGGTCTGGGACAATCAATGATATATTATATCCATATTAGCAGAGTACCTGTGTTACTGCATATAAATAAAAAAAAAGCTTACATTTCTTGCCTGAAAGTCATAGTAAGCCTTATAATTTGATATGTATCATTGAATGTAATAGGAAAAATTATTATCCCAAAACCAAATACCATCTACAGTAATTAATTTCAAAGATATTTGTCACGATTTTACCCATTGCTTCCGTGTGAATAAAAAAAACCAGTTGATCCCAATCTTCCTCAGTTGCATCAAAAATTTGTTGAATTCTGAAGTGTATTAGAGAGCTGCAAACTGAGAAAAGGAAGTAATTAAATATTCACGTGGTAGTTTTATTTATAAGAAAATGTTTAAATAAAAAATTATATTTACATTTTATGGATTACTCTTAATGTAAGAAATATTAAAATTAATTATTCTTGAGAATGCAAGTGTTGTACATTCTTACGATGAAAATAAAAAGCAAAACGTCTTAAAAATATAGAACTTCTTTGGAACCCATGGATACCTGTCCTTTAATTTAAAAATAACATTATATTGCAAACTGTAGCCTTTATCCCATGCAGTAAAAAACTGCATTAGAAGCATTATCATGACAAACGGCACACACAATATTGAGTGATACTGCTTGTTATGACATCAATATTAAACAATACACTAACTGCTTTACAATTTAATAGTTCACATATTCCTAGTGCCATGCCACCAGATGTGCTATGTCAGCGGGTCAATGTCATAATTTTTAAGGGAACGTTGACGTTGATCATTTAACGACAAATCAGAATTGTTTTGATTTGTGTAACAGCTTTTTAACTAATCCTGCATGATATTACATTAAAAGGGTTTGAACAAGTAAAAGTGTAAAAGAACATGAGGTGAACGAACTCCATGAAGTAGAATCATTCTTAAGAGAATAAGTTATTCAATTAATAAATAAATTTCTCTGCATTTTACGGATCCTAATGGCTCATTAATGAGTTCGCAAGAGCCTCTTATTGATTCATATTCCGAGTCTGACAAATCTACTCAAAGCGTAGGTCTTCTAAGCGATCTCTTCACTCAAGGTTTTCCAACTAAAATGTAGTATAATTCCCCATCTATCGTACGGATGTAAATGTCCCATACATTTCAACATAAGGTAAATCCGAAAACTGTTAATACATCTACAACCACCCACAAATCCTTCAGGTACCAAAAATGTAGTATGTGACACCGAAAACAATGCAATAAATTTATTCAATGTCCTGCCTTCAATATTTTGGCATCCGTAATTTTTAATTTTGTCACTCTTTTCAGTTGTACACAACATAAACAGATTCCTGGAGTGCACGTGTTCTAAAATTGAATAATATGAAATTATCTCCCTCATACAATGTTAAAAGGTGGTAAACAAAAGATTGCACTATTTTTATAAGTGGCAACCTGGACACAGGTAAGTACTGGCTTTTCGACTAACGTAAAATGAAAAATCGACACAGGTTACATTAACTGTAATGTCATGAATTATATTTATTTTACCAAGCAAAATAATAATGGAGAGTAATTTGCAGTGCTTTGTTAATGTAATGGTACTTACCAACAAGATGCAATGCCCCATTTATTATTAAGTCTCGAAGTATTAGCAGGGTAAGAAGAGAATCTTCATGTAAACTAACAAATCTGAAATTCTACCAAAATGGAGCAATAAGTCATTGTTAACCCCACATTTCTCACCCACTATCATGCAGAATGCAACCTTCTGTAAGTCTCCAGCAATTCATTAGCAGCTACTGATGCTGGAGTACAGAGGTAGGCTGTGGCAGCTGCAGAGGACACCTGAATCATGGCCGCAGTTGAAGAGTTGTTTCCGCCAGCGGTTCCGGGATTCGGCTGTGTCGTCACATGGTGTAAAATGTTTGGTGAGAGAAGTGCAGTGTTATTAATTGTTGTTAGTGGAACATTACTGTGACCGATGGCTCCGGCCACATGGACCTCACCAGTACCAACATTCTCCACTTTGACCTGGTTATTCTGCGACTGTCCCAAGTTGGCGGTATTTGTTGCAGCCTGCCCAGTCTGTAACTGTTGCTGCTGGTTCTTATTTCGATGTCTCTGTTTGTGCGTAATAAGGTACTGCTTCATTGCAAATCCCTTACTGCATATGTCACACTTATAAGGGAGTGGATTCTCAGCTGTTGCATTGGTACCGTTACCTTCCCCTGTTCCATCGCTGTTCACGATGGATGAACCCGGAGTGGCGTGACTTCCTCGATGCATGAGGTAATAATGTTTCACAACAAAAGATTTACCACATGTTTCACAAATATATGGCCCAGCTATACCATGTGTCTTGCGGTGTTTGTGTAAATTGTCTTTTCGACTGAAACTCTTTCCACATAGGTCGCAACCGTGCATCTTCTGCCCCGTGTGTGATACCGCGTGTCGGACCAGATGTTCTTTGCGGCTGAATGCCTTCCCGCATGATACGCAGACATATGGCCTTTCACCTGTGTGCAGCTTCCTGTGCTGAAATAAATGCTCTTTTCTTTTAAATGGTTTGCCACAGATCTCACAACCAAAGCTGCCACCACTGCCTGCTACATTACCGGCGTTCTTGTCTGCAACAGTGTTTTCTGAATCCTGATTTGTTGGACAATTACATGGTGAATGTGAATGAAGTTCTTCAAGGGTACCAAATACTTTACCACAACGCTCACAAGGCCGAGTAGCATTTGGAGCTGCGGCTACTTCAAGAAGTGTTGCCGTGGGACCAGAAGTTCCATCGATGATATTCACCGTCTTCATGCGTAGAAATTCACCAATCTGAGCTATTGAGGACCTGGAGATAAGACCCACACAGTAAATATTCAATTTGAGTGTCATGATTTCAAAGTGACTGATAGCTAATAAACCCTGGTCATTAAGGAGACAAGCTACACCTCATTATGAATTCAATCTTGGTTACTATAAGCATCTGGTTTGAAGGTATGCTGAATGATTGAATCAGATAAGACAGTGAGCTAAGGCTACTTCCATTTGTTGCATAGTTCGTAAAAGTTTCACCAATGACAAACGAGCTTTATGTTGAATGCAAGCATATAAAAAGTGTTCTGTTCCTTAGCACAGCTCAAAAATCTCCCCCATTTGGATCCTTCTTATTTATGTGGAGGTTAGAAGGCTGCAGAGCAGATGAGTAAAGACAGCTAGCTGGGATCTTCAAGATTTTATTCTGTGGACTGGAGCTAGTCCACAGAATATTAATTACCAAGCTATCTGCCACGGATGAACGTCATTGCCTGCAGGTCTTATTCATGGCACTTTAATTCTGCTGCTCTTCAGGCTGAAAACTAGCTCAACCAGGAGGTCCAACAAATAGGTCTTTCTACCTTCCCTTCTTACCTGATAATGGAAGTATAATTCAACTTCCAAAACATAGTAATTTTATAATATATGGATGACGGATAACTCCAAAATAAAATTTAACACAAGATTTCTCATGTTCTTCTCAGTCATTCCTGGCAAATGTTGGGTCTAGCACCTGAAAACAGGGCATGACTACAGCATAATTAATAAAATCATGGCAACAGCATGATTCCTGTGAGGTCACATACCTCTGCATTGCTGCATGATCTTCTGGTCGAAATAGCCCGTCTCTGTCCTTGTTGAAATTAAAATGTACTAGCATCTCCTGGCCCGGTCCTGCCGTAGTAAAAGCTACTGCTGCCGTCGCCTGCTGATGCTGTTCAGCCGACACATCACCTTCCTCACTGTTTTCTGGTGACTAAAAGGACAAACAGCTTAACTCATAACTAAAACATTTACTGTAAGAGATTTTGTGTGGAATTGTAGGTTGACAACAAAGTTAAAAAAATAACGCACACACAGTCTCTTTGGCCCTGAAGATACAAACAATATGCTTCTCACATATGTTGCTATCTACCCACGTCAAATCGGTGTCACGACCCAGAAGAGCAACATCACCAAACCACATTATGTGAATAAAATAATTTATCTGTATCATATATGAAAAAGCTTTACTCTCTGAAGGAAGACAGATAATAAAGGTAACTGATGTTATTATCATATAAGGCAATCTTTGGCACAAATTGTATGAAATGTAAACAAATTTATACTAGTCTTAACACAACGAATGTCAAATATAACTTGTTCTAATATATATTTTTCCCTCTTTGCACTTCCCACTCCTCCAAAGTCTCGCTAAACTTCGTAACACTATTCTAATGACTCCGATTTTTAAATCAATCTCTTCAGCTATTACCACAAAGAGATGATCTTCAGAAATCGACATTCCAAGAACCTCTATGTGATGTCTGACGAGGAAGGAAGACTACAGTAAATATAGGAACATAATTAAAAAAAAATTAATAGACATGGATTTGTGATGATAGGTATATGCAACTTTACTGCACACTTTCTCAACCTTGGCATCCAAATGCAATATTATGTTCACTAATGAACGTGTGATATAGCCCCAGTACAAAGTCAAAAATGTTTACATCTGGACTACACATAATCCACATTTATTTTAAAAAGTAGCACAGCATCCATCCACATCACGTTCTGATGTAGGGTGGAGTCACCAGTGAATCAAATATTGGACCATATTTCTTTGATGTATCTGTCAGTGGGGTGCCATCCTGTACCTAAAATTTCTGGTGAGGCTAAATTTAACTTTTTAAACCATAACATTTATGTAACATACTGTGTTTCTTAATTTTAAAAAGTTTAAATAAATGTTATATGATATGAAGTTTTCATGGTAACTAAACTCAATAAAATCTTCTTGGAAACCATCACAACCCTGACAATGGGAATGGAGAAGGTTCCCTGAAATATAGGTTTATTCGTGTAACAAACTGACGTGACAACAGCCCGAGAAGATTTTATCATGTAAATAAATGTGATTCACACTTTGAATAGCCCGATAACAGTTCTTACGGGTGTCTATCAAATTTCCTTTCTTACTTTAACAAAATAAAACCATAATAACTAAAATTTGGCTGCAGAATAAACTGACCTGATGGTGCCTAGCAGATACAACCTTGTTCGCAAAGTCCGTCTCGCTGCATTGCGTGCTTCCGTCTTCCACTTTTGCTGTCACCTGTGCAACTACGGGGTTTGCGTCAGTAGTTCGTGTGTTGGCAGCAGTGCATTCGTAGCTGTAGCATGCTTCAGTGGTTGCTGCCTCAACTACTGTAGGTCCTGCTGACCCAGGCTGCATCTAGAAAGCAAATGGTACTCAAATCTGTCAATATCACAAAGCACCATTACAAAACATTCAGCAGACCACGTAAATATTTTTTAAAACAAAAACTCAATATGATGAAAATCGAGTGACACGCACACGAAGTACAGAAATGAAACACCACGTGCAAAATGTCAGAAAACACTAAAAATGTATGTGACAACAAGAAACAGATACGAGGCTTACGACAAAATTGTAAGAATAATTTCAGATTTTTTTTATTAATCTGCTAGCATAAAGATTTATTGTGAACTAAACTGTACAGTGTAAAAATTTGATCTAGGTCTTTACAATGTTAGAAATGTCGACTCTGGTCATCTGGGTAGTGACACCATGCAGTGTTCTCGATGGCAAACATTTTGGGGGAATCTATCACCTCCATCTTCAGGGCTAAAAACTACATGGCATCATAACTTAGAATACAACATTTAACACCTGCATCACCACAAGAAACTCAAATTTCAGACAGCCACGTTGATGAGATTTGAGGTTTTCGTGGCAGTGAGGGCGAACAATGTTGTTCTGGTGTTTGGCGTCACGTAGACTCGTCGGTAGACGCGTCTACCCAGGACATCAGTCTTGACGCTGGTCAACCTTCCTCTGAAACACTGGTAACACTACTGACACTATACAGCATCATAACCCAAGACCACAATCCACAACATAATTCCAATTTATTTGGGAAATAAATGGAGGTATGTGGTCGCGTTCATTCTCCAGCCACCTTTACTATCAGGGACAGAGCCTCCTCCCCATACCCAATAAACAGGAGACAGGGTGACCAAAATAGTTGTTCTAGATCTGATAAAAAAAAACCTCAATCTTAAGTCAGTCACCTTACTGATTGAGCTATCACCTTTTAAACAGGACAATATAACACGAACACGAGCTATGAATTTAGGAATGCTCACCTGCATGGCACATTTGTACTGCTGCACTCTTGTTCCATCTGCATCACTTACAATCTGAATACCAGCTGCCTGCACTAGACTGTTTAAACCGTCTGTGGCAGCTGTCAGAGCTGTTCCGGCCTTATTATGCTGGTGTTTCTCAGAGTCCGAGTTGGCTGTCGTTGCTACAGCTACAGTGGTAGTTGTCTTTTTCTTTGGTGGACTCTCATCTTTGACATATACCTAGAAAATAAGGATGTGGTTACAAGTACAAAAATAAAATTTACAGCAAAACTTTGTGTTACAAACATGCAGAAATTGTATTATATAAGAAATTAAACATTCAAAATTAAGATGCATATTACCAAATCTATTGTAATTTAGATGTTGCATGATATTTTTAAGTATACAGTCCTATTCAGCACTTTGTATACATTTAACATAATGAAGAATGTAAAAAAAAGTCTAAAATTACTTTTCCTTCACGTGTGAAGTCATCTGAATAGCGTAGGGATGTGAAGTAACTCTCCAACATCGCTTCTGCATTGACGCAGGATTCCCGAAAGTCATAAAAGCTTTCCAGCTTGTCCACACAATGACTGCAGATAATCTTCGGTAAGGAATCATCTTCGCATACCTGCATAAATTAACAATAACACAGGATAACAAAACAAATATTTTGTTATGATTTGATACTAAAAACCTGTCTTGACACTTCATCTCATATAAAAAAAACTGAAGGTTATTTGAGTTTTGTAAAAG